GGTTGGCCCTAGTGTTTGCCCGTGCCCAAAAACAAGGAACACTGAGCCTGCACCAAGTTTTAGTAAAATGCGCATTTTCTTCTCTTACGCAGGCCCTCTATGGTGTTGCCGTTATTCGACCTCCGGGCCACCACGCTGAGAAGGACAGTTGCGCCGGGTTCTGCTTCTTCAATAATGTTGCCCTGGCCGTTCGGCATACACAGGAGATCCACGGCAGAAAGAGGTAGCCGCCGTCGTATTCGTTATTCTTTATCCATTTTCTTCACTTTTATTCTCTTTTGTGTAAAGTCTTTCTGATGATGAACAAACCGGGCTTCTAGGACAGCCAACGAACTCTCTACTTTTAAAACTTTAGGATTGCAATCGTGGATTGGGATGTGCACCATGGAAACGGAATCCAACATGAATTTGAGGAAGACCCAAGGTAAGGACATGCTGATGTTTCCTCTTATTCCTCTTCTTGTTAACGCAATTTAGTCGACAGCTTGGGACCAATCTTTTCGTTGTTAAATGGTAGTGGCCATTCCCTGCTAGTATAGACCCGACCTAAAGCCCCAAAGAATTCTGGGAAAATTTTACAAGGAAACTTTTTTTTTCAGCGTCCTTTACATTTCTTTGCATCGATTTGATGACGGCAAGTTCTTCCCGGGTTCACAGGACGCAGCGGCCGCTGCGGCCGGGACTGGTGCCGGCAAAGGAAAGACTGCAAATCTTCCTTGGAATTCGGTTGGTACATGTGAAATATACCCGTTTCAGTTGCCCATTGTTGCGCTTGCAACATAATGCCACAATGGAAACAATTTTTTTAGCACCTCTTAAAACTTTCGCATAAATAGGAAAACAGGCATTCCAAGAAATATAATTTCAAGGAGACATGTTCTTCGCGATAATAAGGAAAAAGAACGTGTCTCCTTGAAACCACGTGAAACTCTTATGATTCCTTTTGAATAACTTGATTTGGTTATGGAACGGAATGAACTAAGTACTGCTCTGGTGGATTTTATTGTCCAGGAGAAATGAATCTTTCCATTTAGATGGATCAAATAATCTCAATATTCAAGAACTGTACCGTTGAAGGCAAGAGAAAATAACTTATCTGTCGCAGGTCAAAGAGACAGCTGTAACCTCATCCCGACCATCAAGACCTGTGAGCTGAAAACTGATCAGTAGATTTGAGGTCAGTCGTTCTACCAATGAGCCACCGACCCAGCCCCTATCGGTTACGATCAAAAATATCCAGTCAAGTAACAATTATTTTCTGTCGATCTTGCCTGACTACAGGGTCGTCCAATTTTGCCTGTTCATGTCAAGCTACAACGGAACGAGCATGTCCCGTAACTTTATCGGTGAGCGCCACTTTACGATAATCAATATTCCCGATGGCAACTGACAGGACAATAAACCATTGCCTCATTTGTGGAGCATTCGAATCAATGAGTAAAAATCGCGGATTCGAACCTAAGTTGCTCCACACTAGGAATCGGGTATGACTGGTTGATTACGAGTAACACGCAAGAGATAGACATTCCATGCTCTCTTGTGTTAGTTGGCATTTCATTATGTACACAATGACTTGCTAATGTGCAATATTTCAATAAGCCCACTTCCGAGTGGACTTGTATATTTTCATATGACCTCGAAGCAGAACCCTGATATGGACCCTGAAAGCTGCAAACAAACTTCTTATGATTTGCAAATTCCCATAAACAAATCGGTAAGACCGCTGTACATCAATTTTAACCTTAGGTCGTCGCGGTACACCCGTGCTTACTAGAATCTGCCCTCCTGTTCGTTCGCTGTTCTAAAATTGAGCCGGTTCCCAAAATTCGTCACATCACATTGAATTCTTCCTTCTGTTTGCTTTTTTAGCGGCCAGTCCGCGACGGCGACTACATAGCAGCAGTTATGCACTTCGTGCTGCCACTTTTGTATGAGTTCCGTCCTGAGCTGACTTTTATCGCCGCAGGATTTGACGCTGCTCGAGGTGATCACTTGGTATGCTCTACCCTGGTTAATTCCTTTCCCTACCCCTTAGCTCCTTTCGCCGGATTATTGCCTCTAAATGCTCTGATATGTTTACTTTTGACTTCTACTACTTTTTCTACTAAACAAAGTTCATGAACAGAAACGTTTACAAATGCTACTTATAGGAGGATAGC